TAAAAGGTATCAGAATAGTAAAGTGCTTAGAAAATAGTAAGTAGTCAATGTTAGATGTTGTTAATACCATTCTTGCTATTAATTTAGGATGAACAGATTTTTTTTAAGGCTAAATATTACCATCCTTTACTGAGACTTTGAGTGCTTTCTTGAATTGCCCTCCTACCCATTACTTCTCCATATGGATAGAAGAAAATTAATTTAACTCATCTATTCATGCAGCAAACATTTGCTAGGCATTGTGGGAATATGGAGGTAAACAAAACAGGGACCCTTTTGCAAGGATACAAACCCTAGGGGAAGGTGGTGCCTTGTGGCTCATATGTAGTTGCTGTGACTCTTTCAGGGTTTATTTATGGGAAATGCTATTACAGTAACTACTGTCTGCGAGTTTCATATGAAGCTGGAGAAGTTGTTTCCAGCTTACTTTCATAGCTATAGGTTACCAGGATCTATGGGGCTGCAGTTGTCAGGAAGGTAGATGCCCCCTTCCTCCTTCCCTACACTATATATGGTCTTCCTGAAGCTAAGGTTTTGATATACAAGGATGACCTTCCTAGACAGAGGAAAATACTCATCTTCAACAAAGAGGATCAGAGTGTCTGACACAGGTAAATGTTTAGTCTCACTGGTCTAACTCTCTACCACACCATGTCCTCTCCTGCCAGCCGTGCCCAAATCACATTAACTCGAGAAACTTGGTGGACTCAAGGGTTTGAAGGTAGAGAATATGAAGAGGTAAAGCTCATAGGTTCATTCTGGGCCTATCTCAGTTCAAGATGGCCAAATGTATTTAAGACTGCTGCAGGGGCAACTCCTCCTCAAAATGTACCTTTAGAATCTGTCTCATTTTAGCTCTTTTAAAACTCTCACACAAGGGGATGAAAATTCCAGAATTCTGCTTTTGTGGCTCCAGGGTTGCTCAAGAACTATTATTAGCCTTGTGGGAGGGGGAGGTTCTGAGCTCTAGCCTACCCATCAGTGGTACAGGCACTGGCCAGGACACAAGTATCACTGGCATGATTCCAACACACAGACACTACATAAGTTTAGAGTTTTAAGATGCCATGCCTTTAAAATCATGCCTAATAAGGCATGTTCACATTCATGTTTAGGTCCTTAAATATTTGGAAAGGGAAAGGTAAGCCAACAAATAGGGGTATATAATGCACAGAGTTGAAAGAAGAGGAAAACCCACAAAGGAAGCATTATCCCCAAGTGATCAGAGATGAAAGTTTTATTTTCTAGGAAAATAAAAAACCTTTATTCCTGGCATGATCCTGCCCTCTGTGGCTAGATAGCTAAGTCAACAGGAACTGAGAGACTAGGTAGAAAGGAAAAAGGACTAAGTGAAAGCTAATTTTCCCCACACTTGACTTCCAAAACAATTTAAAGCCTATCTTTTGCACATAACAAAAATAGTTACTTGATTTTTCCTTTTACACTTTGTTTCATAAGAGTCTATTATATTGTAAAATGAAAACAACAAACAAAACTGAAGGATTCATTTTATTTGGCATTATTAGAAGTCCATCATCAGATTTTAAGGATTTCTTCTCAACCAATATCTGTAAACTCTAGAAAGGTCTATAGTTTCCTTTGGAGTTTGGAGCTTCTTCTAGGCTCTTCATAGAAAACTTTTCTTCCAAAATTCTTACAAGAACAATTAAACGCGTTGAGGTCATAGAACTTAGTGCCTGATATCTTACAAGCTGTTTTTAAATCGATTTCTTTAATACCTGTGAACACTTAATTAGAAAATGAAATTACTGACCAACTATTTTTATTTTATAAAGTACCTTTATATTTTTTCTATCACATAAAAACAAACTACTTTTCTTAAGCCTGACTGAGATAATCTAGGAGGACTGCACCTTTATCAAATGAGAAATTCCACAGCACTTCTTATAGCTCCCCTATAACACAACAGCTCATGTATGTTCTGGCTAAGTTGAGTTTGCTTCTTAAATAAAGCAAGCTACTGGATGCCACACTATTTAACGCTTCTAAGATCAGAGGACAAGAATGGGAAAGAGCCAAAAAGAAACCCTTTAACCACAAATAACCTATCTTCATCAGCTGTCTTTAGTTTCAAGAAAAAAATCAGAGCCAAGCAAAATCAAATTCAATACTGACTAGGCGCAGGGTTGCTAAGGCCAGCTTGTTAATATGCTAAGAAAAAAAAATATGCTAAGAAAAAAATGAATAGCAGAAAGAGAATTGGATTAAATCAGAAGACTAGGGTTTGGGATCTAGCTTTAGCAGTTACTATCTGTAAATCTTGAGAAATCATGTAACTCTCTGACCTTATTTTCTTCACCTAGGAAAGCATAACCATATGACTGAGAGTTGTGAAATTCAAACTATATGATGTGAATGAATAATAATATGTAAACCATAAAGCAAACAAGAAGTTTTTTTTGTTGCTTTTTATTTATTCTAGATCTGTCTTCTAACAAGCAGTCCATGTCACTGCCCTGTGCTTGCTCAAAAGCCTGATTATTGCTCACGACTTTGGAAATCACAGGATCCAAACAAATTAGTCAGCAACTGGCCAGCAGTTTGTCAGCATATGGTTGGGCACAGGCAGTTACTAATCTAAGCAATGAGATTCTTGTCCAGCCCAGCACAGTGCATCTGAGCAGCAAGACCACCCCTGTGCCAGCTATATGTGCCCACCTCTCCTAGTTCTGACCATGGCTTCATCTTCTCCTCTTGGTTCACACCTTAAGAAACACCCCTGCTCAAATCAGCCTGGCCCCCAAGCCTTTAGAAACCCATACAACGCATTGTACCCTTAGACTATTCCTACCTGAGGGCAAGGCCTGACAAATAGTACTTAAAATATTCCTAGCCAGTTTCTAGTGAATGACTGTCTAAAGCCATTCTAAACAATGTCTAAAGGATTTGAGGATTTTCCTTTGTGTGTTTAATTTTAATGGCCTCTGAGCATTTCCAAATCTAATTATTAGAAATTTGGAAAGACAAAACAACAATTGTACATGGGCCTCTGGCAAATGTACCCTTAGCAAAGGCTGCCAGCCACAGTTTGATTGTAAACATCTCTCCCTACACTCTCACCTCACAGTCAGTATCTCCCAACTCACACTCATGTCCAGGTAAAGAAAGCAATTTTGGCAGAAAGAGAACATTGGATTCCATGTTGCTTTGAGAAAGACATGATAACCCTGATGAGAAAAATTAGTTGTAGTCAAAACGAAGTATGTTAAAATGTATGCAGCTGGAATAAAGGGTAGAGGCATCCTCCACAGTCCTCTGCTGGGGACACATGTCAACTCTTTGCCCATTCACACAACCTAAGTGCAGCAGCACATTTAGTAAGAATCTCATCTTCTAAAGGGTTAAAAGAAACATTTGCTTAAGGTCTTAGACCAATCAAGCACAAACTCAAAAGGAACAAGGCAAAGATACAATAGGATCTTGATCCCTAACGTTAAAGCTGAGTGCCAAGAGAATTCAGCTGGAAATTTGGCTGAAGTTAGATTGCTAGATTCCAAAAGTAAATCAAGTGATATCTATCTAGAAGATTCTAGAGCCCCACAGACTGACTTACACTCATAGTTTCTTGTTTGTTTGTTTGTTTGTTTGTTTTAACTTACTAATTCCAATAGCAAAAAGAGGAAGAAACCCTTTGAGGATGACAGAATTACAAAATGGATTCATTCATTCAACATAGATTTACTAAATACAAACAAAACATAAGTAAATTATAGGAAGCGTTGCAAGCAAGCCAGTGGGTAAGTTATTTTAGATGAAGGGGTAAGATTAAGCACGCCTCGTTTTTATAAAAAACAATGAAATCATTATTTTTTTGGGAGGAAAACATTCAATATATACATAACCAGCAATAGAGGTACTATGATAAGGAAATTATCTTTTTGTGTTTTCCAAGGTTTTCTGGGAAATTCGCTTATTTTTTTAAATGCTAAAAAAAGAGAGAGGTTGGAAAGATAGGCAGATGCCAAGAAAAAGGAACATGGATACAGAGAGAACAAGCTGTGGATTGAGAAGGATATGGAAAAGATGAGAATTATATTGAACTTTTAAGATAGATAGAAACCACATTTCAGAAAACAGAAAAGTTCCAGTCAGAAAAGAGCAGTGATGTTTAGGATTAAAAGTCCAGAAGCAAGACCAAGATGCAATTACTAAGTGGAATGGTTCAGCCAAGACAACACTGTCCCATTGGGCATGGTGGACTCAAAAGGGAGACAAGATAGCACAGAATTAGGCCAGACTGAGTAGGAAGTTAACATTCATGTTAAGCGGCATAGGCAATGCACTGAATGGAAATGGTACCCTGAGGCTGACCCAAGCTCCCACTCTATGTCCAGGGACAACTGGATCTTAGCTAGATGTCCCCGCTCCCCACTGTTGACTGCCCACAGGTAGACAACCTTTACTTCTGAGAAGAGAAGCCACCCCAGGGCTCCATCCTGCACTTCCAATCTCAGGGATACAACATTATCAGTATGAAAACAAAATTGCTTGAAAGCAGCAGGCAAACAGAAAAGGCTTTCACATTAAAAGTGGGCAATAAGTTTCAGTCCAAGCAGTGGAGACTTTCTGGTGTTTCAGGGGGTGTCTCAGCAGTTATAAGCACTGCTCTAACCTAGACCTTTTTGGGTACATAGTATAATAATCAGAAAAATGCACAGAGGAAAAAAAGAGAAATTTCTTGAAATAGGACCTTCTCGAAGGCAGGAACCATGTTTTATCAACCTTTGCCTAGCCAGGATACCTGGCTTATAGCAGAGATCAGGAAGTGCATGCTGACGAACAAATCAATGGATTTAATGAAGCCAAGAATCTAGATAATTAAGTTTGCCAAAACATACATATTCTCCAAATACCCTCAAGTGTGCTTCAAAATTCATTGGGGAAAAAAAATTCATTGGGAAAATTCACTGGAAACTGGAGTCTTTACAGCTATGAGTAGGAGAACAACCCATGTTCTTCACTTTCTTCTGCAGACTCACCATCTTGAATGTTTGGACTCAGGATTTGGGTTCGAAGCTCCTGCAGGCTAATTCCCAGACACCTGCAAACCTCCTCAGGGCTATAGGGCTCAGGGTGAAGGGTATCCTCTGTGATCTGAAGCATTTCTTCCAGACTGACCCCGAGTTTGGCCTGTACCTCCTCTAGTCGCAATACTTTATCCCATTGCAAGCCTCTGTACTTAGCCAGGAGCTGCAAGTTCAAACCAAGATAATGGTTAGCTTTCATTTCAGAAATTGATATGTACTATTTTAATTAGCCAAATTCAACTGTTTTCTTTTTTTCCATTCAACCTCTCCACATTTCCCATCATTGCTTGAAAATGTACACTGGATTCAGATGTTTGGAATTAAAACATGCTTGTGTGACACTCACAGGCTAGTTAAATATTTTTCCTTAAAAAACCTAATATCCCACTGATTTTTTTTTTTTTGGTCTGTCACCACTTTCCCTCAGGCTATTGCTTTGAATGATTTTTGTTCTTTTATCCCTATTCAGTTCATCCCTAATACACCACTCTCTATAAAGTTTACAGAAAACTGCTCAACTCTCATGTGACCTGGGTCCTGAGGTAGACACTGTATCCCTGATTTCATTAGAGCATTTCCTGTTTACCACAGGCCTCTTTGAAAATGGCTAATGAATTTAAGTATCTGGGCATTTGGAGTAAAGTCCCAGATTTTAAATGAAAACCTCATTGGTGACCTTAGGAAAAACCACTTCATTGGGTCACTGGTAGAACTAGAGCTGTATGTTTCTCCACCCTCAAGAAAAGCGTTTGGCTCCCAACTGTATCTTGGGGCATCCCTCAGTCTGATGGAGGTGGTTAAGTACAAACAAAACCTCTGTAACCAGGTCCACGCATGGGAACCTCATTCTGGAATATGTTTCTCTCATTCTCCCCAAAGCACTGGCTGATCCCCTCAATCAAAACAGTGAAGATATCTCTCATCCTGAGGTCTATAAAATTCAATACCTGGTGTGAGGCAGGTGCACACAGGACAAACAGCAAAAAGAAACAAATGAAAGAAGGAAAACTAGTCTTCGAGGAAATGTGCATCTGATTTACTCTGCTACTATGCTAATGATTTGATTTTCTTTCTTTTCTTAAGCAGGGTTTACCAAAAGATCATTGAACTTTGGTTAGGGCCACTCACTTCTGAAGAATATTAATAGTGGCAGTTCTTATATTCATTAAACCTCTTTTTAAAACTCTGGCTCATACATTGAAAGGAGTTAATGATTTTAAGGCAGAACTGAGAAAAAAGAAAAAAGAATTATATTTTTCTGTTCAATTATTTCCCAGAACATGGTACCATTTTTAAAGCACGGACTAAAGCTAAAACCTTTCTTCTGACTTTGATGGCTCAGCATACTTAGTGTTTACGAGCAGCGCTAGACTGATTACCTCCACAGATTCATTCGTTTGTTTAATTCATTGATTCATATATTCTAATTCTATACTCTAATGTGTTCTAAAAATAATCTGAAAAACCTTATAAAGACATACATAAAACAATATATTGATTTTATACAGAAAAAGAGCTGAAGTTGATAATCTAGAATGATGCTCTCTTAAAACACAGATCCAAATCCTGCTGAAATAAACAACGAAGCAAATAGAAGTATATTAATACCTATACACTGCTGTATGATTTAAAATGTACTTTTTATTTCTTTCAAGCTTCACAAACCTTGTGAGATGGGTACTATTACTCTATTTAAGAAGTAAGAATAAATGACTTGCTCAAAGGCTAGTAATAAACAGAGCTGGAAATTGAACCCTGGTCCTCTAACTCTTTCTGGCTTCTTCAAGGCCACAATCTCATTTAAGTTATGGCCCATACCAATGCAGTGCTGCTCACACTAGTTCAAATTGCTATTCAGGTCCTACAAATGGATTTCTAAGCACAAACTAAGACTTGTGTAAGAAATGAACATTCTAGGGATGCCTGGGTGGCTCAGCGGCTGAGTGTCTGCCTTCTGCGTGATCCTGGAGTCCTGGGATGGAGTCCCACATCGGGCTCCCCTCTAGGAGCCTACTTCTCCCTCTACCTATGTCTCTGCCTCTCTCTCTCTCTCTGTCTCTCAAGAATAAATAAATAAAATATTTTTAAATTAATTAATTTAAAAAAAGAAATGAACATTCTAGTGATTTAAAAACAAATACTTTGATAGATGTGTTCCCTCTAAAAAAAGAAGGAAAAGGAAAAACATCAAAGAACGGCCCCCAAGTGATGAGACTGGGCTCTTCCTATGAACCTTTTAGTCAACAACAGTCTTCAAGTTTCCATCCCTGTGCTCACTTGAACAAGTCGCACTGCCTCAGGCACTTGATCCAAGGAAACTGGGCCAGGGATGTGAGAGAAGAAAGTCTGGGATGGATGCCTGCTGCCTACAAGGCTATTTTTCAAACGCAGCCTCCCTGTGTGCTTTCCTTCCACAGACAGAGGTGTACTAACATACAAAAGTTCGAATTCACTCCAGCAATATCCCCATCTGCTCTTGGCTATGTGGACCTGCCCAGGTGGAGGGGTCCACATAGCCAATTTGGTATGTTATTTCAATTAAGGATGAAATCTACCACATGCCGTCAATGACAGCTGCACGGCCATAAACTGCTGAATAACAGTGCACTGCACTGTGGGAACAAAATAGGAAAGCTGCTTAAGCCCTTTGAAATCTGGCTCAGGACATAGAAGGATGACTTGCAGATGAGGGAAGTGGGTGGGTAAGATCACTGTCATTCAAAGACAGAACTTCATGAAGGAATTTGCCACTTGAGGCCTTGGTGATTGGCCTACATCACATTTATGAAGCAGGGCTATGAGTCAGGGCTATGGGTCATTTCATCACTAAGTTCTCCACTTGTAACAGGGTGGGGAAATAAGAGAAAGCAGTTCTTTGTCAACATTCACCACTTTCTTTCACCACTGCAAGTGTTAAGTATTCATATCAGATACCACCTCTGGGAGGTTCCTGAACCTGTTCCATGCTCTGTGGGCAAGAAAGCAGGCAACAAGTGTTTTGTCCACAGTCTCAGAAAGAGGCAGATAAATAGTGCTAGGATCCTGTCTCAGGTTGGTGTCTCTCAGAAGCAGACCCTGAGGCAAGGATTTAGGGGGAAGGATATTCCAAGATACCGGTAGAGGAGTGGAGAATGGGAGAGGAAAAGCCAATGCAAGGTGCAGTGATATGGACAGGTGAGGCTGGGTCTTCTGGGCCCTCTGTAACAAGGAAGCTGGGATATTTACCCACTAACTCTTATCCATCATCCTTTGAGGGCTACTTCCAAGTATATTAGCTCCCTACCACTTCCAGGTTGTCTCAGATGCAAACTCAGAGCTCAGATGCTTCCAGACTGCTCTTCAGTCTGGAAGAGTTGCTGGAGCTCCAGGCAGAGGACGTGCTAGGAGAGTGCTAAGATATGCACTCTAATTTAGGAGCCTGCCGGTCAGAATCTACCTCTCTGTGACTTTCCCATCACATTTAGCAGTGTTACCAAGCAATGGGAAAAGTACCAAGTCTTTTCTTCACCTGGTCAGCAAAGTCTAAAATGTCTAATCCCTCCTCTGAGTTACCTCTAAAAACAACAATTCATCGAACAAGCTGTTGTACACACAACAAAAGCTGCTATGTTGTTTTTGTTTCTGTTTATATAAATTGCATGCTTATTTTTAAAATTTCAAAAAGCTCAAACCAGTTCAAAGTACAAAAAAAATACAAAGTAAAATAAATCATCTGTAATTACCCCAACAAGATAACCACCAACCATTGTTCTGATAACCATACTATTATATATTTATGCAAACTTTCTCCACACCTGCACACATATAGTGTCACATAAATGGGATCATATGTAGTTGCTTTTATCGTGACTGCTTTTATTTTTTGCTTATGTCCTCCTTTACCCCTTCCAACTACATAGAGCTCTTCTCCAGTATTCCTTAGTGGCTGGTGACTTTCGAGCATATGTTCTACTCATCACCGTCATGAAAACTACCACGTTGACCTTCCCCGACGTTAGTAATCCCCACTGTCTGCGCTCCATATCAGTTTCCAGGCTATAGGATAAATCTGAAGAAACCTGCACAACTGTGCAGAATGGATCTACTACCGTTCTCACCGCACCCTCAGCATCCCCAAACATCATACTCTGGATCACATGTGCACCTCATTCCCAAGGGGCACAATGGAAAGAGCAGAGCTGAAGACAGACCAGGACTCCTGCACTTACTTACAACAGGTCACAGCCTACCTTGGCCTGCCACTCCCAGGATATAAAATGGCCTACTTAAACTTAATGGTTACTTCACAAGCTACTGTGAAGATTAGATAAGAGAACAATAAAAATACCTAGCACCTAACCTGGCCTAGAAGAGGGACTTCTGTGAAGGTCAAGTTTCCTTCCCTCCCCACATTCCCCTGCTCCTTTAGGTAGTTCTCTTTCCCCTGATACTTTTTTCCATGCTTTCAAACATATACAGATGTCTGCCGTCTTGGGAATCCTAAGCCTAATTAGACTGCTCTCCATCTCTGCCACTCTTTCACTGTCAACCAGTGGCCCACAGTCTAGGCCCTCAGTAGCCACTCTCACCACTGAATGAGGCCTCCCAATGGTCTTTTCTTATCTCCCAAACCACTTCTGAAGGCACTGGAGTTCTCTCAGCCCTCTTGCCCTTAATAAGTCAGTGACTTCTGGTGCTCTTCAGTGCCTACCTTCTTCAAATTCCTTGTTTTATTGCTTCGATAGAGCTGGATTTTCCTGGTCTCTTTCTCACCTCTCTGGTCCTCGCACCTTTCTTCCCATGACTCATTTTTCCCCTAATTGAATTCGCCTTCCAAGTTTAACCCCTGGCCTTCCGGTCTTTTCTTGCCACATTCTTTCCCTCAGCAAACGGAACTTAGCTCTTGGCTTTGACTGTTATCTCCAAATAAATACATCTGAAGGCCATTCCCCCAAGCCCAGAGATACACGTGATACAAGGGGATGGCCTTCAGATGTACTCCTAACCACCCATGTGAAAATGCAATGGGGAGGTGTCACCGCTCCTCATTTTCCAGTCACTTTCCACCCAACCTTCTGTAAACCTACCAGTGGCAGCACCATGCTTTCCACCCCACCATTTAAGCTTGAAACTGCAGCTTATCAAATCACTTTTCCTCCATTCTCACATTCCTGCACTCGATGAGAGTTTGCTGAACATTCACAACTGTCAAGGCTTTCGGCACCCAACAGTGAAGAGCACACGCAGCTCACAGAGAGCTCATGGTGGACCAGAGGAGGCAGGTATTCAAGAAGAATCACACTGTGAAGAATTTAACCCAATTGAGATAAACTACTATAATGGAAAAATACAGGATGTGGTAAGAGCACACAGAAGGACATTTAGCCTAACGGGAGTTGGGAGAGTAGCTGGTGAAAGCTTCATGCCCAAAGGAGGACAGAAACCCAATCCTAGAGAGCCTTATACTCAGCCCCGTATATAGGCTCAGTCACAGTTTTTCTCATATTCTTCCCTTTTTATCCCATCCTCACTTCTCCACCACCAAGGCAAAAATTCTGCTGCCAGGTTAATACACCAAATACCTTTCTAACAACATCAGCAGCAACCCACTGCTTCCAGAACCAAGCCTGGTTGATCCTCAGTGCAGCCCTGAAGGCGCTGCCATAACCTGGTCCCACTAAACACATGGACCGTATTCCCCAACATGAGTGTCCCCCACCCTGTGGCGTGGACCCTCCATTCCCTCTAGTGGGAATATTCCACACTAGAGTCTAGGCAGGGTTTGCTCTACTGAATCAATGGAGCTGAGCAAAACTGGCCACATTCCTAGGGATTTGGGTTTTTTCCACCGAAATTCAAGGGAACTGCCAAAGCCCTGACATTATGCCCACTTCTCACATTCTGTCACTAGACAGAGAATAAATTCCATTTTGACCATTAAGTGGCAGAAGCTAAGAAAACGGTGAGTGATGGCCCTGACCAGACAGGCTCTATGAAGAATCACACTGTAAAATTTCCTTGAAGTGCCAAAGGACCACATGAAATTCTCTCCTTCTTTGCTTCACTTGTTGCCACAAGGAGCTCAGGGTATGCAAAAGCAATGGAATAATTTCTCTTCCCTTTTTGACTTCCCATAATACTCATTATCAGCATCACACATTTTATCCCTCAATATAATTAAGGGATACTCTCTTTCATAAACATAAAACATTTCTGGAAAAGTTTAAGCCACTAAATGTGTGTAAAGTATGAAAAATTTGTGCTCATTAAAGATTTTTGGCCACTTTGTTAATTTAAGAACATAAAAATGTGCTTCACTTAAAAGTATCACTTACGTAAGTAGTAATTATAAATCTCTACTGAGTTTGCTTTGAAACGTTTTTAATTTTAGTTCAAATGGCTCTATAAGACTCTGAATTTCAATGAATCTTTATCAATTAGTCTTTGGAAACTACTGGAATAGGAGGAGGAGAGAGAAAGAGAAAGAGGGACAGGAGGGAAACTTGAGAATAGAGATGACACTATCGACATTAAAGCAAAACAAAGAAAAACCATCTTCACGGGTTCACCGTACTTCCTTGTGTTAAGCAGATATAAAAGATACTCAGTTTCATAAAAGGATCTTGGAGAGGTAGGAGGAGTGGAAAAATAAGTGTCCTTCATTACAGTTTTGCCATGTAGAGCCCCATCTGATCTGTCTCATTTTCAGAACTATTCTGATTAGTCATTTCTGCCCTGACACTTCATTTTTACTTTCTGAAAACAGAAAGTTTGTCCAGATTAAGACAATGTTCCTTACCTTTTTTTATGGGAGGTTTTTTTTGTTGTTGTTTTTGTTTTTTAAGATTTATTTGAGAGAGAGAGAGTACATGTGCGGGGAGGGGGGGTGTGCAGGGCAGAGGGAGAGGGAGGAGCAGATCCTTGCTGAGCAGGGAGCCTGATATGGGGCTTCATCCCAAGACCCTGGGATCATGATGTGAGCTGAAGGCAGATGCTTAACCCCCTACATGGGAGGTTTATTTCTCAACTTAAGAGACCATTTCCAAACAAATATTATATTCATTCACATATAAATAAAAGAATGGAACCATATTATAAGGAAAATATACTTAGCAGAATTCCAGCCTATGTTCCTAGGCAAAAGTATATTCTTTTTTTTTAATATTTACTTGTTTATTTACTTGCTTATTTTTAAATCAATTTTTAAACTCACAACCCTGGAGATCAAGACTTGAGCTGAGACCAAGAGTCGGACACTTAACTAAGTCACCCAGGTGCCCTACCTAGGCAAAAGTGTATGGTTAACATCAAAATCATATTAGTAGTTTTATCTTTAGCTTATTTTTATCTTTATTTATTATACACTTGGATTCTAGTGATTGGTAGCCACATGATTTAGAAAACATTTTCCCATCTTGATAAAGTCTTTCACTTTTCTTTTTTCCATATTTTAAAAGAGAGACAAACTTAGAGTATGCACCAATTGGGAGGAGTGTGCAGCAAAAAGCAAAATTCAGATGCCAATTTCCCTGAGCAGAGTATCTCAAAGCCTCATATGGAGCTATCAACTCTTGTTCTTGAAGAGGTTCTGCGGTGGATTAAGGTTTTCAGACACGACTACTTCCAAAAGAGATGCCTTTTTTCCAGTTAATTCTCAGACCATTTCCTCATTCTGATAACTTTTACTGGAGATTTGGCACCACAACTGCATTTTTCTCTCTCCTCGCATCTCAGGAAGAGAGTAGTCACAACAAGAACCTATTTCACATCTCATACTTGCTTGAGTTCACCCAGAGATCTCATAGAGGATATCTCGTTTCGTGATAAAACTTTGAAAACAACATTGTACATGCTTGAAGTCTCCTCAGGAAAGCAACACTTACTCATCAATCTCAAAGTAAAGTCAGCACGAATAAGCCCTCAAACAAATAAGACACTAATTTCTTCCATCTCCTGAAAGAGGAAGCTCTTCCTGTCCTAAAGGAAAAAACCGTTCACTGAAGCCTTGCTACTGAAAAGTTTACTGCACTACTTCTCATATATGCACTGATCAGATACTGTTAAGAGCTTAATATTTTAAAAAAAGAGCTTAATATTAAAACATTTCTTTTAATAATTTTTTTGAAATTATCTAAATGAGTAGATTCCAATTTTAAACATTTAAATGATTTTTTATGTTAATGCCAAAATTTTCCAGAAAAAAAAAAAAACAACTTTTATTTTTCTGCTCATCATCTCTCTAGTCTCCCTAATTTCACAACTTCAGGGAGTGGGAGTAGGATGAAGTGGCAAGTCAGTCCCAAGGGATAAGCCCACACCTACATATCTCCAGAGTAACTAGTCCAATATACACTTGTAAAATATTGTGAAATTGATCAAAATAAATATGAAAGGGCAGGTAACATGGGGAGTAGTCATTCATTTATTCAATAAATGTTTATCCTGTGCCTATTTCAGCCTAAGCACTATGCCAGACATTAGAGATATAAGAGTTAGCAAGATGGATGCAGCCCTGACTCTCAGTTATAACTGAATGAAAAGGAGGAAACAGATATTAAACAATTGTGATAAATTCCATAACTGAGAAGTTCAACAGCAATGAAATATGAGGGAGATATACCTTAATCTAGAAGTAAGGAAGTCAAGGAAGTCTTCTCTGGGGGATATTTAGACTTGGACTTCAAAGAAAGCTAGGGGAAGAGCATTCTGGGCATGTGCAAAGTCCCTGGGGTAGGAACAAGCATTATGGCTAGAGTGTAATGGGAATAGGGGAAGCTAAGATAGGAAAAGGATGAGGTGCACAGGCAACAGATCTTGCAAGGCTCTCCAGGCAGTGATAAGGACTATTTTCTTTATTCCAATGAAATAAAAAAGTTTTGAAGGTGGTAAGCAGGGGAATTATCTGATCAGCTTTAAATTTCTAAACCATCATTTCAACTAGGAGAAAGCATAGTGCAGCTCCTAAGCCAGAACCCACTCCCTGGCTCCCAGCCTGTTTTCTCCACCTTTCTGGTCATACCATGTACCCCTTCTGGATCCTCCACAACATTTCATTTCTGTGTCACTTTTTGGAGCACCAACTTACATATCACCTGATCACAAACTAACATTTCCTATTTCACAACCCTCTAATTTTAACTCTCCACTCTACTCTCTCTATTCTTATGTCTTACATCCTTCTGTATATCTTCATGCTTCTAGGCATATAATAGGTATTCAATGAATACTTCCTAAGTAGATTTAAGGCTTCATCAGCCAAGGTCTTCTAAACTGTAGAACAGAGAATGGCCAAGACTCCCTTCTGGTTTGTGTGTCCTTTACACACATGTAAAAGTCTTTTGGGCACAGGGGCATTATATCAAGCCTATATTTTTAGAGTGACCAGTGATGGCCCACTACAAAAATGGTGCATCTGAGAGGACCAGGTGTTGAGGCTACCATCACATTTGTTGAGGAAACAAGATCAGTTATGGTCACTTCCCATCAATATCACCTCCAGCTATCTTATTCCACCCTTACCTCATCCATGGCCTATGTTTCACAGATATAAACTATCTTCTTCTGCCCTGTGCTGCCCTAGGAGACTCAACTGTGAAGTCCATATAGCTTCCAAATACCTCAAGGTTGCAGGGTACACCTATAGGTTTATTTATCTCCTGAGTTTGGAATCAAATTGCTCTCTTCCCAAAGACCTTCATTTAGAATACTGCTATAGTCAGAATGATGCCCTAAACTTCAGGGAAAGAGACAAAGTAGCAGAGAAAAAAATAAGAGGAAAAAGGATAAGAGAAAGTCTACTCCAAGTTTCACTGGTTTGCCAAGTTCATACCTTTGCAGCCAGCCGACACTCCATCACCCTGATATTGAAATGAGAAGTGGCTGCCTTATTCATTTCCACACAACTGTTGGCAATCACAAATATTGCTCCGCTTGGGAGTTTCACATCAGTTGCCCTCAGAGGGCTAAATTCTATCAATTTGGCCTATTGGAAGAAAAATGACAGGTGAGATATAAGGTATTAGAATCCAGAAAATGTTTAATCATTTATCTATTTATTTACCTTAGCAAAAAATTTTTCCTAAAAATGCACTCTTTCAAATCAAATATTGTTTACTGACTTCCAGGCATTATAGTAGGCATTGGAGCTACAACAGTGAACAAGACACTGTGCCTGCCCTCGTAGAACTTACAATCTAGCAGGAAAGACAATCAAATGAACAAAATTACAAAGGTAGCAAAGTGCAGGGTGCTGTATAGAACATCATTGAAGCATATGATCACCTAATGCAGGCTCCTTTGAAAAAAGAGAAATCTACACTATCTTAAAGGATAAGCAAGAGTAGGGCAGACAAAGGATTTCTTGACCCAAATAGGATATCAGAAAAGAGAGAAGAACATACACAAGTTCAGAGGCAAAGAAAAAAAAAAGACCAACAAGAAAAAACACAACCATGAAGTATTAATTGAGCTTTACGTATTGAAATTTGGCTGGAGCTCAATTTGAGGGTTGAGAATTGGTGAGAGAGTAGAATGGAGAGGTAAAGCAGGAGCCACATTGCGAAGTGCTTTGCAAGTTCAAAGAATGTGGACTTTGTTCAGACTCTATAGCTAACTTACATTAACATCAGGACTCTTGCCACCATGTCTGCCTGTCAGGTCTCATCCAAAACACCCAGAGTATTTTCTTAACATTAAACCACATATCCTTATGGTTCATGTCTTTAGCTTGGAGGAATCAACAATAAATATTCTTAATAAGAAGAAATCCAGGTGTTCTTGGAAAATAGCCAAGCCTGTAAGAATCTGATGAAAAAACTAAGAAAAGATTTTAAAGAAATGTCTGTTTCTATTTTGGAAATAGACAGTTTATGGGCAACACCCAAAACTTCTACTCTGCCTAAGGGAGTTATAGCCAAGGGGAAGTGGTATCCAGCTAAGGAATTCACCCCTGGCTTACTGTCAACATTCTTTTCCCCACCACGGAAGCCCCAAAAATGTTGACAGAGAAAAATGATCCCAAAAGTAAATTATAAAAGAGGGATTATGAATGTATGTGGTAAGAGAAGTTAACATTTGGGTTTAAAACCAACATGAGATTATGAAAATGCCATGAGATGAAGTGATTTGGGAGAAGAGTGGGAAAGGTAATCTTAATAACTAGGGCGTTGAGAAATCTCATCTTAATAAGAGAAATAGAAGGGAGAAAAACGAGGCACAAGAGAAAAACAGATTTGAGGTATGATTCTGGAAGCCTAAGGAAGATGTGATCAACATGAAACAGAATAGGTGAACTGGTAGCAGCCCTGAATTACAAAGTAGTTGAGCAATACCATTTAGAATAGAACCTAATAGAATTAGCTGCCCAGAGTCAATCATGTGCAAGATCTCAAGGCCTTCCTCTCCATATGAACTTTGCCTAGTTGATATTTCCAAATAGCTCAATATCACCTACAGTTCCTTCTTCTGCAAGAAATGATATGGACTGGTCCATCCCTCCTCCTTCAGTGCCAATATAACGCTCACTCTTGGCACAGATTTCTGCAAGTTCCACCTGAAAGAGTAAAAATTGATTTGCACTGTGAGTACAGCCATAATTTCTTTCTCATTCATTTCTTACTCCAGGTATGACAGATAGGCCTGAATTCCAATGTCAATTGACAAAAGTTGCCTGAAGTATTGTGTTAACAAGGACTCTAAACTACCACTGAACTCACTAGGAAAACATAGCATAATGAATTAATGTTTGCAGTGGGATGGAATGAGATATTGGCTGTGCATGCCCTGTATTCACTCTCCAGACAAGATTCGATCGGGCAAGCAGTTTCTTCCATCTTTCTACTTGCTCCAACCCTCTGTAGACTAGTATCACCAAAAATCTCAACTTTATCTTCCAGTCCAAATTAATGTTGTCTCTGTCGCATTTCCATTAAATATAAGAATCAGAACTGGCATCATTTCTCTAGACACATCTTCCTCCAACCATGATGAAGAGGCTCAACACACACAGTTCTAATCCAAACTGAATATGTCAAAATATGTGTTTAAGAATCTTCAGTGGCTTTCTACTGATTAATGAAATAAGTTTAAGCTCCTCAATCTGGCATTTCAAAGCTTTCTGAAATGTGCAACTAATTTGCATATGAAATCATATTATCTACCATTCTTTTCCAATTAAATTTGTCTACTTGACCATCTCACACATTTGTGCAACCTAGTATTACTTCCAATCACCTAGTATGGACAAGTTACTGGGCTGACCACTCAAATCTTCCTCCATCCTACAGTCTTCCTCAAATATTGTTCCTACTATGGCATCCCCATTCTCTGAACTTCTCCAACACTTACAGTTAGTGTCATTCATTTACTCACTCTTCTATTCAACCATTCATTCATTCATTTTTTCTCTTTCTTAAGACTTGATTCAGGCCCTTATTGTTTCTTACCTGTTTCTACTAGAAGATCTTCCCAGAGTGATCATTCTGAAACACTGATATAATCATCTCTGGCCTGCTTGGTTGCCAACAACCTGATGCTCATACTTCTCAACATGTCTTTAATCCATAAAAACACAATGTCTTTAATGACATCCCTTGCCCACTTCTCCAGTCTGCTCTCCTACCAATAACTCTGGAAAACCTAAGTTCGGACCATCAAGAATGCTGAACAAATGCTATTCTTTAGACTTTCTCATCTCTCAGTGCCTTTCAAAATGTGGTTTTCAGTCCTCCTCACTCAATACTTCTCTCTCCAGCATCACCCCCCTCATCAGGATCAACTGAAGCATGGCCTCTCCTTGGAACCCACACTACATGGCACCTCCTCTGCATCCTTGCATATTATTCTATTCGTATTTATCAAATCATGCTTTAAGTGTGAGTTTACTTGTCTTCTTACCCACCAGCCTACAAGAGCCCACTTACCTAATGCGACTGAATCACATGGTGTTTATTACTGTACTTAATTGTGTCAGGTTTCTGTCACATCTGTTTTTCCTGGAAAATTGTTAGTCTTTTAAAAGACAGAAAAAGTCTGGTGTCTCTTTTGTGTCCCCTACCTCACACAATGCTGAGCAACATTGTAAATAATAAATACCTGCTGCTTTCACTTTCTGAGAACAGCTGCCCCAATACCATCTGAGAGATTTTGTATCATACTCCTTGTTGGTCATGTGGATTCACTAACATTAACTTGGGACATGAGGTAAACTTGGGACTTTGACGTATTGGGCATTGTGCATGGCCTTGCTAAATACACAGAGCCAGTGACCTGCCCATAATAGGTATATTTAAAAATAAAGCACCAAATAAAAGATCAAAACAGCTAGATTTTAAAATGTAGAGAAACAATATGAAGAAGTCCACACAGCACCGAGTTAAGAATGATGACACCTGAGTCTCTCTGTCACCCTTAGCCAACGTGAAAATTCACGTCCCCAATATCAGTAACAGTCACATTTACACATTAAGTACCTAGGGACGCCTGGGTGGCTCAGCGGTTGAGCACCTGCCCCTGGCTTAGGGCGTGATCCGCAGTCTCAGGATCGAGTCCCACATCGGGCTCCCTGCCTGGAGCCTACTTCTCCCTCTGTCTATGTCTCTACCTTTCTCTCTCTGTCTCTTTCATGAATAAATAAATAAAATCTTAAAAAAAAAAAAGTACCTAGCATGGTCTCTTTTATGAGCAGTATCTCCTCTGCTTATCCTCCTTTTTATTTATTTATTTATTTATTTATTTATTTATTTATTTATTTATTTATGATAGTCACACACACACAGAGAGAGAGAGAGAGAGAGAGAGAGAGAGGCAGAGACACAGGCAGAGGGAGAAGCAGGCTCCATGCACCGGGAGCCCGACATGGGATTCGATCCCAGGTCTCCAGGATCGCGCCCTGGGCCAAAGGCAGGCGCTAAACCGCTGCGCCACCCAGGGATCCCTCTGCTTATCCTCCTTACACAGATGAGGAAAATGGTACTTGAATTCATAACAGAAAATGGAAGAGCCAATTGAATCTCATCTGCCTGACTCCATAGCCGATGTTCTTTTCACACTGGACTTCGTTACTCCTCTCCTGGCCCCACACCCTTGAAGATAATATAACCCCTTTTTTCACTACCTCAAAGGGATGTGAAATGACAAATGAGATCACTAGAAGTTTTCTCCCCTTTAAGAGGAAAGAACTAATGCACTGAGAAATATATGCTTATTTATTGTTTTTAAAAATGTCTTCCATGTGGCAACAATAGGATACTTTTACTTTAAACAGGATGTTGATTTTTCCAGACTATTTCTGGACAGAATTTGGGGGGACCCCAGAATCTCCTAATAGCTCTGTGTCAAGGAGAGTCCACCTGCAGGGATGAGAGTCCATCCTGTAGGGATGTGAACATCCCTACACCTTGCTGAATTCTGACAGATAGTTCCCATGACTGGACAGACAATACTCAAGAGTTCTAAATGTGAGGAAACAAAAGAAAATGAAGATAAGGAAGCTGAAAAATGAAAAAAAGATGATTCACTTTACAGTCTCTCCAGGGTGCATGAGGAAATCAGTAGTAAATATGGAGGAAAAAAAAAGTACCAAACACCTTCAAACCTTGGTTAAAGCCCCAGCACTCCTGCCAACTAGTTGTTGTGATCTTAGATTTCTTCATTTTTCCAAGTTTCCATTTCTTCATATACTATTACTAATAATGAGGACGACAGTTTTGCAGTTAAGATTTATTGAGCACTTACTGTATGCCAGGCAGTGTTTAATTACTTTGTATGAATTATTTACTTCTTATAAGTACCCTATAAGATAGGTAGTATATACTCATTTTACAGATGAGGAAACAAGTGGGTTTATTAGCTGAGGCTAAGCTAGTAATTATGAAACCAGAAATTCAATCTCAAATTGTCTAACTTCAGAGACTATACTCTTAATCACCCTGCTATATAACCCCCCATCCATAATACAGAGAAAAATACTCACCTCTCTAGCTATGCGATTATTGTGATAATCCAGTGAGTTAAATAAAAATACCTCATAAGCTCTAAAGAACTATACAATTGTTAATTTTATTATCTGTACATAATAAAAAGGAATCATTTGATTTACACAAGTAACTCAGTCCCAAGTCAAAGTAAAGACAGGTATAATTATTCTGGAATACAGAACAATTTTTAAAGTGTTTAGGAAAAGATAGAATGTGAAAGATTCTGGATGCCCCCAGCAGAACTAATTCAACAATAGTCTGTAATAGGGCCTGAGACAAATAGGAGAGTGTGTGCTCCATTTGAAGCAGTTTAGTCTAACTAAACTTCAGAGCCTATACTCTTAATCACCCTGCTATATAACCCCCATCCATAATACAGAGAAAAATACTCACCTCTCTAGCTATGGGATTATTGTGGGGAGGAGTCCCTGCCTGCCAAACAAAACATGCTTGCAGTAGAAACTTCAACTGCAGGCCTACAAGCAAGTTTTTCAGTGGCTCTAGCCTTTCACCCCCATACCAAATGCAAAAAGATCAAATCTAAAATGACATGTGGGGCAGCCTGGGTGGCTCAGCAGTTTAGCGCCGCCTTCAGCCCAGGGCCTGATCCTGGAGTCCCAGGATCGAGTCCCACGTCGGGCTCCCTGCATGGAGCCTGCTTCTCCCTCTGCCTGTGTCTCTGCCTCTATCTCTCTATGTGTGTGTGTCTCTCATGAATAAATAAATAAAATCTTTATTTTTTTTTATTTTTATTTTTTTTAAATTTTTATTTATTTATGATAGTCACAGAGAGAGAGAGAGAAGCAGAGACACAGGCAGAGGGAGAAGCAGGCTCCATGCACCGGGAGCCCGATGTGGGATTCGATCCCGGGTCTCCAGGATCGCGCCCTGGGCCAAAGGCAGGCGCCAAACCGCTGCACCACCCAGGGATCCCTAAAATCTTTAAAATAAATAAATAAAATGACATGTGAAGAAATTAGAAACAAATTTTTTAAAATCTCAAATCCTGATTAAGGGGAAAAAATGGCATGTTTCTTCTGTAGGTCCATAGCCTCAGCCAGAGATTTCATGACCTAAACTCAGAAACACATTAATGGAGTGACCTTACCAGCAGGGGGTATAAATGGGAGCATAAATGCCTATCATTCTGGGTGAGGTGAGGGATTCAGGTGAGCTAGCCATGCCTATTCTGTCTCTGGGGACCCTGGAAATAGAACTATAAAAAAGTCTTGCCAAGAGTTATAATCAATACTATATTCACATTTAAAGAATGTAAAATAGCAAGAGATTTCATGAGAATAAGAATAATCTGTCAAAAATACATTAGCAAAGTGTATGTGAAGAAACCTATTGGAACTTCAAAGAAAGATCAAATAGAATTTGAGGATCCAACTTAATTTAACAAAGGATAAAGTCATCTTTTTCCTGGTTGTTTATAGTATTCTGAGGTTCCCCCATTTTTTCTATCTCCCCACACCACACACACACAGCCCTGAGAACCCTGAGGCAAGAATAGCAGAGCTCTTTGTGAAAAGGGACTCATTCTCCTTCCCACCAATGTATTTTCTTCTGCCCT